TTAAAACTGTTCGCTACATTGCTTTCCAACTGATATTTACCAGCTGATTGGTTCACTGATTAATACATCGTTTTCAAAACCGTTTTTCTTTTTTGCTTCTAAAACCTAAAAATAAATATAATTTTAAACATGTCGTGTATTTATCTGTCGGCGCTTGTTGAGAAATTTAAGCATTACGAAAAAATTTTTAGGTCTTTCACTTGTCTCGACAACCCTGCACACTCTGAGGATAGCCGAGAAAATAAAGGTGGGCATGTTATTAGTCCACCTAAAAAGACAGCCACGGATTCTAGTAAAAAAGATCCTCCATCCCAGTCCTTGGAACTTATTAATTTATCTTCTCCATGCCCTCAGGCATTGGAGCCTCCGATATCTAAAGCCATATCCACTAGGTCTACTTCTAAAAATAGTCAAACCGTTGATTTAACAGTGTTGCCATCAGCATCTCAAGCTCCACTGCCTAACTTAGTTCCTCCGAATAATTCGGAGTCCCGCACATCGACATCATTACCAAAAAGTTGGTTGTAATTCCTCCGAGAAGATCAATTTTTGTCTCTAGATTTGCTAAAGATACTTCTTCGGATGATATAAAGTCATACATATCGACTAAAATTAGAACTAATAAAATGCACTAAATAAGCACTGAACATGGCGGGAAAGGTATTCTAATAGTATTATATAGTTGTCGAATATGTTTAGGTATCTTCGGCTCAGCTAACATGAAAAAAGCTGCATGTATGCATATCTATATATTTTTGATGATTTAAAGATTTTAATTTTTAACGATGCAAAGTGAAGTGTATGTTTATACCTACATATATACTGCTGCAAATAATTATAATATCAAAGTGATTTTAAATGCAACGCAAAAATTTTAAAACTAATTGGTGGATTTACATAGTCTCATAAAATTATAAGTCCGAAAGTAAAAACTTAAAAAAATACATAGTATGTTATACCGTTAATACGCACCGAAAATACAGAAGTCACAGTTGTATTTTTTAATTCCTTTTTCTATGCTAGACAACAACAAAGTCTTTAAACAAAGCTAGTACAAACGCTACTAGTAGTAGTTAAACAAACGAAGACGACATTCTTATGACCAATTTTTATACTCTATTTAATGCCACAAAATCCCAACACTGTTTATAAAACCATATAACGAAGTTCCAATTTTGTTTTTGTTAAAAAACTGATGGTTTTTTATAAACATATGATCTCTAATTTTATCAAATAAAGTTTAACTGATAAATTATAAAAGAAACTTTTCTTTTAATAAGAGTTCACAGAATTTAAATGATTTAGCAGGATTCTAGCGATTTTTGTTTATTAATCTGGCGGGACGGCAGAAACAGAAATGGCAACACTGGTGGTGAGTACCGACTTGCTTGCGCGCATATTAGCTGTTTTGTAATTCACTTTTGCATTGTCAGCGTGCAGTTGGTCGCAAATTTTCAAAGGGAGGGGTTGTTCTTGCGCAGATAATTTTTCGTTAGAAATTTTCTTGGAAAAAAGGACAATCATGCGCAAGACAGCCTTTTTATAT